CAACAGCAGCAGCAACAACAACAACAACAACAACAACAACAACAGCCGAAACAGAAGCAGAAGCAAAAGCAGCAGCCTCAGTACCAGCGGCAATCGAATCGCGTTACCAAGACCCTCGATCATAACTACGGTAGTAGCAACAATGGCGTGGACTTGGTGGACGAGGACGACTTCGTCATTGTCGCCGAGAGCGCCAAGAGGCTCGGCAAGCATGCACCGATCGTAAGTTTACTTACGGACGAGGGACAACAAGATCCCAAGAGAGGGGGTGGGGTTGGGAGAAACAAATGGGAAATTTTGCGCTCTCGGGCTGCTACGTTCTGCAACCTCCCAACGAGCTTTACGCATTGCGCTGATATTAAGGCTTCCTGTGCTGTTTTTAATGCTAATTATTATTATCCCGACATTCGTACTAAATCAACGTTCTTTTCTATATTTACATTCCTTCGATTATTCGCAATCATTTATTTATCTTACTTTGATTAACGAGCTCGTAAGTAAACCGTCGAATTCCTAAACAACCGCCCATAAACAATATAAACGTAAAGGCATTTATTTATTCGGCACTTATAAGTAGAAAATTATTTTTATAAATTTTTTTGTCACTTTGCTTAATAAGCTTAAGTTGGTATGATAGGAACTATTTTCTATGTCAAATATATAGATTTGTCGTTACAATATAATATTAGTTTATATTATCCATTATTGACGGAAAAAAATTTTTGATTATGTTCGATTGATTAAAAAAAAATATATATTCATTAAGATGTCAGGGATGTACAAAAATTTATAATTTGATATAGTGGCTTTTTATGATATTTATATTTTACTTTTAAAAAGTTATTTTCAAGAAAATATTACTTTGATTTATGAATTAATCCTATACTTTCATATCAATAGCATTATTTTATGATATATGTTTCACGTAATGAAGAAATTTTTTTTCGTTGTTTTTTTTATTTGATATTAAACTAATTTCACCGCATTTCGTACACGCATATATTATGCCAAAATAATATTATTGTTAATTACAATTCTTTTTTTTTTTTTTTTATCATTAAATATTTTTCTTAATTGTCTAATTGAAACTTCTAAAACTCGTTGAAGGTCTTCAATATATTTTTCAGTCAAATAATGTTTGAAAATAAACTTATTAAAATTATATACTTTTATCGTTGAAAAAATAACTTTTAAATTCTCAACATTTCAAACATACATTATAAGTACTTTGTTTGGAACAAAAACTAAATATCTTTAATTGTATATTAATTTTATATTCGGTATGTTCGTATTAAAATAATAAGTTGTAAACATAATATTATAATTGATTTCATAATTCTCTTATGTTTATTCAATAAATAAATTTAGTATATCTTGATTACATTTCGAATATGAAAATAAGTTTATTAACCGTTCGTAAGTGATTCTGATTAATCAATCAAAATAATTTACACGTATTGAAAATGACATTGGCAATTATAACAAAATAAAAGTTTTAAAAATTATATATTGCTGTCATACAATTAAATTGGATATATATAATCTTTAATCTAATAAGGCTAGTCAACCTTTTCTTTTTTCGACAATTTCAATTGATAAATATTCCATAAAGTTAGTGAAACGGTGTTGTAATTAACACTAGTAACCGTAAAACGCAGTCTTTTTCCATGCAATCGATTAGTTGGAATTTGAATCACAATAGTAAAGAAATGCAAACTCCGCCGTAGGACGGAGGCGATGTCAAGTACGAGCGCAGCCAGCATTCAATAATAAGTGCACTGACAATGATTGGCGCGAACATCGTGTTAAGGTTTTATATCGAATTTTTTTTTTATTATTGTCCTTCGATCGGTGCCGAAAATTAAGGCGAGGTCGCGGTTCACTAGAAATGCGTGCCACTTGCCGCACTGTCCCCGTTTCGGCGGGATATATTAAGCACCCTTGAAGCGCAAATCGCTCGCGAGCACAAGCGAATGAGCCCCCCCCCCCTCACCACAGTACGCACGCTCTCGCTTTCCCGCTCTCTTTCACTCCGCCTGCTCGAGCGCGGAAAATGGGGGGGTTTGTGTGATTTAGGCATTTTTTACGACCGGCTGTTTTCAATGTATTGCTGACTTGAACCAACCCGCGGTTAGGGCTAATTATTGAGATGGTTAATGAGCTGTTGACGTATAGCAGCATTTCAGGGCTTTTTAAGAGAAAAAAAAGAAGAGCGGAAGCTCTCATATACGACACGATGAAATTTAAATTAGTGATTAAATTATTCGATGCACGACTCTGAGGATCGTTGCGCGAGTGTTTCAGATGATCTGTGTGAGGTTTTTGTTGAAATAGCATCTGATGAAAAATATGAAAATGAATAAATATAAAAATTATTAGAGACTAGCACTTATGCTTATTTAGAGTACACAACTTTCGCTGACCAATATTTTTTATTAGGTTAAAATTTCAAATTTCAGCTCATTGTAAATAAAAGAATTTTAAAATGTAAAGTATGAAATGAAGACATCTATTTCCGAAAATCAGAATAAATCCATTAAAAAACAAATAAAACTCGTTAAAAATTTTTTATACGTTGTAACAAGATCTCTAGTTGTTTTTTTTTTTTTTTTGTTTTACGATTATTGCGTCTGACGTTAATTGCTGATCCCCTTAAAAGTATATTTCCATATTTTGCATCCACTTGTATTTGAAATTGTTTGTGTAAATTTTAACTAATTTTAACTAAAAGTTTAGCAAACCCTCGTGTAAAATTGATTATACATAACTTAACTACTAGTTTAAAACACTTTATTTGAATTCTTGCAATTTAATGAATAATTAAAGATGAAGAAGAAAAAACCGATCCTAAAATTTTCATTATAACAATTCAAGATTTATCAATTTGAATTTAGATTTCAACATTTGAAAATAAAATGTTTATAACAAATGTTGGGCCTAGGCGAGCCCCCATTTACCCATACATTTCCATTAGGATATGAGGTTTGACTGTCGTAGAAACATAGAGTCCAACGATTTATCATATTACAAGCTTGTGATCCATTAAAAACATACCTGCTAAGAATCATTCCACTGGATTTTTGTTAAATGTTTACTAAAAATAGACATGTTTATTTTACTCTTGAAGCATAAGTTAGGAATATACCTTATTCTTAAATCTTTATAATACAGAAGTAAAGCTGATGATTATTTTCTATCACATTTTACGATGACTTCTATCGCATATACACTAATTTTTTTTTACATTACAATAGTAAGATATAATCAGAAAAGAAAAATGAAAAGCACGTATAATCTATTTACTAGAGGCACATACTCTAAATATTCACATTGATGTACACAAAACGATATATCTTCAAGAGTATCGCGAAACCTTTTCGTCATAAGTAATCTCCAGTTTTTCATTTCAGTAAATTCTATAACATAGTTTTCAAGTTGCACGTTTCGCTTATAATACATATAAATTCTTTTTTTCTCTCAACTTTCTTCACACTTTTCTATATCCTCTATACCTAATATTTTTCTATAACTTTGATCTGTGGTGTATATTAATTTAAGTATAAATCTAATATTATAAATAAAAGAACAGACTCAAAAAGTTAACAGTATATATACATACACGTGTGTGCGTGTGTGTGCGTGTGTTTGTGTGGGGGTGTGGGTGGGTGGGCGTTGTGTTTAAGCATAAGTAGAGTCTTGGAATTTCGATTAAACAAAAGGTGAATATATGAGTGAATATATGACTGCAGCTAATATTCAAACATCGTCATTCGATGAGATGAAAATTAAGAAAAATGAACGAAGGAACAAGCTAAGTAAGCGCCACATTATTTGTAATTGAATGGCAATATTTTAATTATTTTAATATTGTACGAGCATAAGATATATTGCTATACTTTATTATTTTTTGAAATTATTATTCTTAATAGTGTAGCGCTCGCTTTGCGAAGCTCCCTAGTTCTAAAGTTCAACGTTCATAATATAATATATATTAAAATATATATTATAGAGCAATAAGTATTCATATAATAAATATTAAAAAAAAATTTTTTTACAGAATTAATGTTAAGTAAGAATATTAGCAATCTATATCTCTCTATATACATTTATTATAGAGTATATATACGTGTGTATGTATATATATATATATGTGTGTGTGTGTGTGTGTGTGTGTGTGTGTGTGCGTGCGTGCGTGTGTATGTGTGTGTGTGTGTGTATCTGTACAATAAATATATGAATTACATAATAAGTTATATAATGATTGCGCCTATCATACAAATTAATAATGTGCGCAAATATGATAATAATATAATGATAAAGATGAAGCAGTTGATGAAGTTGATGTTGATTATGATTATGATCGTGATGATGATGTTGTTGATGATGAAAAAGAAACGATAAAATTTTTTTTAAATAAAAATTAAAAAATTTACAAAAAGAAATCGCACTTCTCTGACTGGCAAACCATTTTGCCCTCTCCCCTTTCTCTCTGATTGTTGGGTTACCATCTCCGTTGATAATGGAATATGGATTTGGAACGGAATGGCACATTTGGGTCTCTCTCTCTCACGCACACGATGATGATGACGATGATGATGGTGACGATGATGACGATGACGATGATGATGAACACACACACGCGCGTCTTGTCTTCGCGCGGGGCCTACGTTGTTCTCCTCTTCCGCTCTCCCTGCTCCCGCCCGCGATATCGCCCCGCGAATCCGCGCCGCTAATCTGCCGGAACGGCGCTTGGATGACTCAACCCACGGATGGATGGAACACTATCCCTGTGGATGCCTGTGGACGACCCACCCGGATGGGATCGACCGACGCCTGGACTCCTGGACGCCTGGATACCTGGACACCTGGACGCCAATCAACCAACCAACGTAACTTTCCTGTAACCGCAACTCTTCGTTGTCACTGCCACACACACAACACACATTCTGTGTCTGCGTCGTCGTCCGTCGTGTGTGCGAATGCGTGCTTACGGCGAGTAGAGCCCACGAGCGCCCTCCATCGAGGACGACGTAGAAGGCCACCTCGTTTACGAATCTGGCGACCTCCTGGCGAATAGATGTTCGTGAATACCAAACTTGAATACGTGAATACACACTCATTGTAGTAGAATTATATGAAAAACAAACAAAAATTATATATACATTTCATTCATTCTTCGTTCATTCATTCATTCACTCATTCCTTCATTCATCCTTCATTCATTCTTCGTTCATTCTGTCATTCATTTATTTATTCGCTCGTTCATTTGTTCATTCACTCTTTCATTAATATATTCATGAGTTAAGGGCCAGGCCGATCAGTCGATGGACCGTGCACGGGATAGTCGTCCAAGTAAACAATAATTACCTTTCTTTATTTTTCTTAATTTATTGAATAATTGGGTCTTTTTTCAAATTCAAAAATGCTTAGTCGGTCGCATTTTATTTTTACAAATTTAAAATGTTGGTTTCATTGAGCGTACCGTAGAATTTGGAATGGCCGACTTCGATTGGCCATTGATTTATTTAATTAAAAATATATTCTTCATTTTCATTACTGTGCATTTTATATATATATATATATATATATATATTATATTATATTATATTATATTATTATATTATATTATATTATATTATATTATTATATTATATTATATTATATTATATTATTATATTATATTATATTATATTATATTATTATATTATATTATATTATATTATATTATTATATTATATTATATTATATTATATTATTATATTATATTATATTATATTATATTATTATATTATATTATATTATATTATATTATTATATTATATTATATTATATTATATTATTATATTATATTATATTATATTATATTATTATATTATATTATATTATATTATATTATTATATTATATTATATTATATTATATTATTATATTATATTATATTATATTATATTATTATATTATATTATATTATATTATATTATTATATTATATTATATTATATTATATTATTATATTATATTATATTATATTATATTATTATATTATATTATATTATATTATATTATTATATTATATTATATATATATATATATATATATTATATTATATTATATTATATTATTATATTATATTATATTATATTATATATACATTATATTATATTATCAATTTTGATAACTCGGTTGCTAATTAATGTAGTTATCATGCATATTTTATTACATGGTTCACTAAATAATATCACAAAGCACTTATATTTTTCACATTGTACAAGCAAATTTTTTATTCCAAAATATCTTAGACAAAGGACTTAAAATTTGTTTTTAAAAGGATATGGCTTTTAATAGTTTGTCGCTTGAATCTGGTTTAAATGTGAATTTTAAAAGTACATTTTTAAGCTGTTTGAATCTGTTTTTTGAACCTTGGAATAAAATTTCTTTTTAGCGGCTAAAGACATTACAATATTTTCAAAATTAATAAATAAATAAAAATGTTCAACGCTTAAAAATAATTAATTATAGTGCTATTTTGTGCCTTAAGTTTTCCACCAGATTTTCTCGTGCTAAGACTTAAAATGTACTTGAAACACATGTACAATATATTGTATATAAATGTATGACTACATTTAGTTTGAAAATGAGTAAAATTTTCTTATATCTCCATGTAAAATGTACATACTATTTATCATTTCAATAGACTTCAATGCAGATTATTATACAGGAACGTTACTTGGCTTCAAGTTGTTTTGAAAAAAGAACTAAAGACAGACTGGTCTCCCTCGGTCTATCGATCGGACTGATACAACAAGATTAATAAATACGTCTTTCTTTCATTTTTTTTTCTCTTTCTTTTTTTTTCACAACGTTCTTTTTGATACTTATACCACCATTAATACTACTACTGTTATTACTACTTTCATAATGCTACTTTTCTGTAATTAGATTTTTAACCCCGTCCCTTCAAATCCTTTTTAATTTCATCAATTGTTTAATATAACGTTACCGTTAAAAAATATATTTAGTTTTTTTACTAAAATAATGCAATTTATTAGACTTGACAAACATGTCACGAAGTTTTAAACATGCTTTTGTTATATATATATATATATATATACATGTATATATATATATATATTATATACAAAAGCATGTTTAAAACTTCGTGACTTCGTAAGGACTTCGAAATCTTGATTAATTTTTGTTAACTAAGAATTTGATTACAATTTATAAGTCCCAAAGTCATATGCACTCTTTTGAAAGGAAAAAAATTGCTTTAGAATAGATTTTTTTTTGGTAAAATTTTTTAATTCATAATTACATTCCTAGTTTTTCAAATTTTATCCTAATACCTCAAACTCCATTATCTCTAGTTTTCACACATTTTTTTTTCTTGGCAACATACGACCGATAAGACTGAAACTGACGACATTTGCTTACACGTATTTTCAAATAATAAACACGAATATACTTAACTATATAATAAATGTTACTTTGCGATGAAATTATTAAATTTTAATGTAAAAAAAAGCAAACGTCGTCAAGATCACTTCGGTCTTTCTTCCACAAACAGTAGGGTTCTAGGGTCTTTGGAGCACAACAATATAGTATGTGACTCCATGGACTAATACAATAATAAATAATAATGCAATAGAATAAATAAACAATCTATCTTATTCTATATACTTGTAAAACTGACATTCAATGAATGAGCAAGACAGGAAGAAAAGAAACAATTCTACTTTTACCGTTTAATCTTAATATGATGATTGTGTCTCTGTACGGTCGAGCAATCACAATCCCTACCACAATGGCTTGCGATCGTCTCTCATTCTAACAAATTTGAATTTTTGTTGATAACCGAAGGGTAGACATACGAAAGTGTACTATTTCTTTTTTAACAATGAAGTCCTAATAAAACATTGAACGTACGCAACAAGATGAGTATTTAAATGGCAAATCTCATAATATTTTCATTTCGTAAAATGTGACTTCAGCTGTGTAAAGAAATATTTGTTTTTCTTCGTAATGTTGACAGGAAAAATACATTTTCGTATGCGCGCTTTCGTGTTTACGTTTACTTTCATAAGTAACGCCAATTCCAAATCATTTATAAACTTCAATATATATATATATATATATATATATATATATATGTATGTTAATACATTCAATCGATGTACAATCCCGATTCAATGCCAAATAGACTAAGGGATGAACAATGAAAGCCGTTGAAATGGTATGAACTTGCCGATTCCGCTCAGACCACGCGTCATCGAACCCATAAAAGCTCACATGTGTTTTTCAATTGCAGATGTAGTACTGGCCACCCTAGGAGAGGGTACTTTTGGAAAGGTTGTCAAGGTTAAGGACTTGAAAATGTAAGTGCGTTAACCACTAATAACTCCTCTCTCTCTCTCTCTCTCTCTCTCTCTCTCTCTCTCTCTATCTATCTATCTATCTATCTATCTATCTATCTATCTATCCATCAATCTCACGCTCACTCTTTTCATTCATTGACTTTCTTTTTCTAATTATTATTATTAAATCTTTTACCACTATCTCTGTTCTTCTTATTCTTTACCTCATGTTCGGTCTTTCGAAAAGCAAAAATAGCTTGCTCAACGGGGCATCTACATCGACTCTATATATTCGCGTTGCGATAATGGAAAGATAGCGTTGACAATGAACAACCTTGCACCTTGAATCAATCATCTTCCCATTTGAAACTACGCCACTCTAAATTCTATTGGAATTTAGATCAAATTTGTGTTTTTGACGTAAGCAGCTGTTATAATCTTGCGTAGAATATAGATTTATGTAAAACAACAAGTGGTTTCGCTGAAGTGTCAAATCACCGATACGATTTTAAAATTAAAAAAATGGTAAATTATTTATTTTTATTATTTTCATGTTTTTTCATTGTACATTGTACCAATGTAGAAGTAACTTTTATTTTCATTTGAATAAAAGTAAACAGTCAATATTATCGTTCAAATTCTGATAACAAGATTTTTATTTAAAAAAATAATTAAATAAATAATTAAACATTGTAAAATTTTTAATTTAGTAATAATTATCACTATCATTCTCGATAAACAATTCTGAGCAATTTACAAATAATAAATTCAAACGATTAATATTTCCATTTCGCAAAAATAAAACCAAATAGAGCCTGGTTAAATAATATATATCAAATATTAACATATTCATTTACCTATTATTTATTGCGTTTAATACGAAATGCGCGCAATATATTTTGTAAACAACTTTTATAAATGCATCCAGAACTTACTTTCTAGAGAAAAAAAATTATGATATTCAATAACTTCAAACTTCATTTCATGCAAAGACATTAGATAAAAATACTTAAAATATGAATTGAACGTGGAAAAAAGTAGATAAAATGTTAATACAATGTTATTTGTACGAATTAAAAAAAAAAAAAAAAGATAAATTAAAGGAAATGGGTAGTGTGGTGTTGGTTTAAAAAATACATCATGATACATCATGTTCATCAATAAAAGAAACTCATTATTAACCAATAGTTAAACAACTGTTGATAAGCTTTTTATAATTAAATATAAATTTTTGTTCTCTAGGGACCATGTAATGGCATTGAAAATAATCAAGAACGTGTTGAAGTATAGAGATGCAGCCAGATTGGAGATCAACGCGTTGGAGAAAATTGCAGTGAAGGATCCGGAGGGGCAACAGTTAGTATTTAAAAACAAACAGCTCAGATAGTTCTTCTGTGGGATACTGCGAGCAGTCTTATAATCATTACAATAAAACGATCTGTGGAGATTTTTTTATAACCTATACTAATGATATATTACTAATATCATGTTTCTTTTCTTTTTCTTTTTCCACAGTTTGTGCGTTAAGATGCTTGATTGGTTCAACTATCACGGGCATATGTGCATTGCCTTCGAGATGCTTGGACTCAGTGTTTTTGATTTCTTAGTAAGTTTCTTAATATTTATGTCACTCAATTTCGATATTCAAAGCTATTAGTATCGGTAATATTATTTAAAGAAATATATAACTTGTTGTCACAGCTAAAGACATTACTGAAATTACAATTGTATATTAATTGCAAATCATGTTTTATAACTTTCAAAATTCTATTTTTAGAGGGACAATAACTTCCAACCTTATCCGTTGGAACACGTGAGGCATATAGGATATCAACTTTGTTATGCTGTTAAATTTTTGCATGACAATAAATTAACACACACAGACCTGAAACCTGAGAATATACTATTTGTTGATTCCGATTACGAAGTTATTTACAACAGTAAGAAAGTAAGTTTCCAATTTAATCTTTTTTTTTTTTTTATAACATCGCACGGGCATATTATCTTTCAACTGTTCAATTTATTAAAAAAAAAATTTCTACTTATTTATAGAATCCATAAAATATGCTACTTATATTCCAAGTTTGTTGAAAGATTTATTATTGATTATATATCTCGAGTATTCTTTATCTATTTAATTGAACATTTTTAAACGTTTTATCAAAATAAACATCATATTACATTGAGATTTTTAATTGATACAATAAAACTTATATCGGAAACCTAGAACTTCAGTAAAAAAAATATTCAAATGTCAAAGTATGAGATTAATTAAAGCTGATAATAAAGTTTTTATTAAAAAAAAACTGCTGAAAGTAAATTATGCATTATTATTATATTTTCCCGATGCTAACTTTTGCATATACATTTTGAATTTTTAACATCGTAACCCGAATGTGTAATACGCATAGTAGATAACGATATATTAAAGATAAATAGCTATTAATATTATTAAGAATAATAAAATGATTTAATTATCGTATTTAAATAAACGTACACTTATTGCTTTTGAAATAAACTTGTGAAATATTCAATAGATTATAATAAAAATAACTAAAAGACAAGGAGTGTCCCATTCTTCTTCATTTAAATAAGTGATTCAATTGTTAAATATATTACAAAACATATTATCACAATGTTTGATCGTGCAATTTAGAAATGTATTAAATTTTTTTTTTTTTTTTAAACACGAAAGCATGAATTTATCTAATCTATTGTTGTAATTGATCGTACCAGGTCCCTCCCTTAAAAAGAGAAGACGTAAGGAGAGTAAAGAGGACCGATATCAGGCTCATTGATTTTGGTAGTGCCACTTTTGACGACGAGCACCACAGTACTATTGTCAGCACAAGGCATTACAGAGCACCCGAAGTAATCTTAGGTATTTAGTTAGAGATCTACGTAATTTATAAATTAACATGTCATACTTATTTTTCAAATGGTCTTTTTTATGTCTTTTCGAGAAACTGCTTAAATTATGGTAATTTTAATTATATAATGAAATTGTGAAAATGAAAATGGTGTTGTTTTTTTTTTCTCTAACGGTTTGAAAATGTAATTTGTCACTGAATTATATTTAATAACGCACACGTGAAAAATGTAATTGAATCGTCATCGTATGAAATATTAAGTTTTCGTCTGTGCATATTGTACAAAGTATAATTTTCATTGCTATAGAGTTAGGATGGACCCAACCTTGTGACGTATGGTCGATTGGCTGTATTCTTTTCGAATTGTATCTGGGCATTACTCTATTCCAAACACATGACAACCGTGAACATCTCGCAATGATGGAACGTATACTTGGCTCGATACCTCAAAGAATGGCTCACGAAACAAAAACCAGATACTTTTATCACGGAAAGTTGGATTGGAACGACAAAACCTCCGTTGGGCGATATGTTCGTGACAATTGCAAACCTTTGCATGTAAGTACATAAACGATCATTGCTTAATTGCTATATTTTATATAAATTGCATTTATAATTATAGTAACTTTATATATACTTATAATAAGTTTGTGTGAATACACAATTTACACAATATATCAATCTTTCAACTAATTAATACTTAATTATATTACTTGTGAACAAAATAATATTTAAATCGAATTGATAATATTAACGTGGTTATTTAAAATTTAATTACTTATAAATAATCTTGAGCATACATTTTTTTTTTTAAATATGTTTTTATAATTTGTATAGCAGTACATACCTTAATTTATTCTGGAATTGCGGTCACAGTATATTTGGGTATAAATAAAGTTTCCGTGAATTTTTGATCTTTACCACGATCTTTCATTTTCAATTTACATAATAAAATTTTCTCTACTGTCTTTATATCACCTATTTTATCAATTATTCAGTTGTATGCAATTTTGCATAAAATATTGAATTTCACCACTTACGATTATATAATTTTTCATATTTCTCACTATTTTTATTCTTTTTTGGCCCAAATATTTTCCGAGGTACTTTATTTTTGAATACTCTAAATTTATTATATTTTTCCTTTACAACAATATTTTCTGTATTCATACAAAAATACCATAATGTTAATTTATAAGTTCCGTTCAAAAAAATGTTCCGTTCTCGGTAATATTAGTAAAAGAAAAAAATTAAATGTTAAAAATGAAAAGTATTTATTTAAAGTAAGATGACTTATCCTAAAATATTTAGGCCGCCTTCCTCGTCAGTTGATTGTATTTACTAGCCTCTGATAAAATCTGTTTGTTCGTTTAAAATATTTGTAATTCTCTATTAAATCGATGGAATGATAGTATAAAGAAAACGTAATTTGAACAATCATCTTCTTTATATTTTTTTTTTAATAAATCCTAACGTGTGCTTGAAATAAAAATTAATAATTGATATACATAATATATATTTATGTTTGATCAATAGAAGTAATTGTAACGTATTATTTTTGGTATTTATTTTACAGTAACTACTATTAAAATATATTAGTTTTAATTCTAACTAAACTAACCTTTTTGGCACTCTTAACTAAACTAAAACTTGATACATTTTAGTTCTTTTAATAGAATCTTTACCTTTTTTAACTCTGCAAATATTTAGATTTGTAATATTTTTTTTTTTTTTTTTTTTATTAATATTACTCGATTTTTACTTACTTAAAATTTCTAATATCAATCTTATTGAGGTAAAATCTGTTTGAATAATACCGTATTAAATTCGACTTGCTCGAGCTTCAATAATAAAATTGAATAAAATGATGCGAAGAGTAATTAAAATAGTTTCATTATATTTGTAATAGCTAGTTTTTGTTATCATGTTTAAAACACATCATCCTAATTAAACTATGTACTATTTAATTATAATTTTCTTGGCTTTTATTTCTAAATAGCTAACTTCAGCGCTTTTTTTTTTTTTTTTTTTTTTTTTTTTTTTTTTTTTTTTTTTTTTTTTTTTTTTTTTTTTTACTATCTTTATACCATTTAAAATATATTTCAATTTCTTTAATTTATGTTCATTATTATTTTGTATTCTTTTAATTGTATTAATATTGGCCAATTAAATGTTTGCATATTCATAGTGATATATAACTAAATGCCTGTGTTTCTAATAATTATTGGACACTGTGATCGTTAACTACACCTCTGCAAAATATACAATTTTTCATGTAGAATTTATGTCGAATTAAAAACGATGTAGTACTTGATTTCGATAATTGCACTGTAAAAGTACAAGAAATTTAATATTTTTGCAGCTATATCTTTGCTCCCATCGTACTAATTCACGTGTCCGTCCATCCAATTGTTGTTTTAAAGATTGGTATTCTTCCAATTTTTTACATTAATGTCGCCTAGCGATGAATGCGCATGAAACTAAATTAAAGATTTATCGAATAATTTCTCAAATTCATCATTGCAGTCACCTTCTTCTCAATTTCCGTGTAACAACAAGTATTTAAAAATATATATTCATACCATTGACCTTCTCCAATAATAAATGACAGTCTGTCACTGACAAATTTAACCTCTTTCACTGCTAACATTGCCTGATTAAATATTGTTGGTATTCTGACATAAGGAAAACTGGTTAATCGAAACTTTATATATAATTCTTTATCTCACTTACATATTACAATACACAAGTATTATATAAATACTATATCTGCATAACTTGTTGATAAAAACTATTTTGTATGCTGAATATTACTAAAGAGAAATTAATAATTGGCCTCCCGTTGCCCCCATTAAACGACCAAAATGAATAAATATTATTGGTCATTCATGTATTTATTGAATTACCAAATCCGTATTAATTATTAATTATTTATTATTGTCCGTTATTTCTTTATATCAATTCTCGATTTCATATTTTACCACTATAACAATAACAATGTTCAAGTAACAATAATGCGTTTTAAAATAAAAACAAATCTTATCTTCACGTAAGTAAACTATCAACGATAAGTATTTTAAAACAAATTATTTAACGCAAGCCTGCGAATGATAAGGATGAATACATAATCGAATACGCAAGCTATAATAGCCGTTGACTATCGCTCCCTCGAGTTCTAGTACCGCTGAAAATCACAACGATTCATTTGTATTTTTTAGAGATATCTGTTATCGGATAACGAGGAGCACAAGCAGCTGTTCGAGCTAATGCTGCGGATGCTGGAGTATGAGCCATCGTCTCGGATTACCCTGAAAGAGGCGTTGGCGCACCCCTTTTTTGACAAGCTGCCCGCCAATCAGCGACTTACTGACCCGCGAGCTGCCGGCGACTCTCAACAGTCACACGAGCGCTCACACTCGCTCTCTCGATGAAGCTAGGGGAGGGACCGCACCGCTGGCTGCCCAGCGACGTCGGCACGCCGATGCATTGGCTCAGCTGTCGATCAGTCGCTCGTTGCGCGATGACCCGTCGTGATCATTTTACGTACATGGCTCAAGGTGTTCGCGATAGGCACTACCGAGTCTCCTACCGCTGCAGCTTACATTCGTTGATCGTTCGTTCGTTCGTCCCTCCCATCCATCCATCCACTCATCTCCTACTCATCCATCCATCATCCATCCATCCATCTATCCATCCATTCACCTATCGATTATCTATATATGTATAATGTGTTCCGCCTTACCCTTTTTTTTTTTCTTTTTTTTTAATCCCTACTCCCCCCTAATTTACTATCTTGGTAATTGTGCGCCAATCGTTGGTAAATAAGCTTGAGCCATAATCGATGTGTCGGTCCTGTTGATTAAAAAATAAACAAAAATAAAATAACATAAAAAAATACGAATAATTATGTAATATTACTTTCAAATTTAGGGCAATAATTTTTTCTGCTAAATTTGAAGTCGCTAATAATGGCGTGTTTGTGCGTGTGTTTTGTATACATGCTCTCGTAGAATCCGATTATTGTAACGGAGAAATAACATGTTCGAGATGATGGAAAAATTTAATTTTATGTAAATTCCTTGTGTGAAAGAAAGAATTTTGGAATTTTATTTTTGACCAATGAGAAGTTGCTGTATTTGTTGATTCTTGAAAGAAATCATTAATGTCTAAGAGTCAATGTAAAGTATGCTAAGGACAGCTTGTGCGCGCGTCCCGCTAACTTGTAGACATTTTTGTAAGAGAATTTTCTGTACATTTTATCCCTTAATGTTCTTAAGATTATATTCTTAATATGCAATAACAACACAACATCGAAGAAAAGAGTAAAAAAAAAAGTAAGATTGAAAAATAAAAGAAATTATTTGCACTTTTCATTTGAATTATCACAATTGTTTGTTGTGTTGATTAATGACATAGAATCGATGACTGGAATAAGTCTGTTTATGTTTCAGCTAAGCTAAGTTAACAGATAATTTTTTAGAGTAGGGTAAACTAGTGTTTAATTCATAACGAAAAGGACGAGTGAAATTTTTACAAAGGATTTTTCCTACTTTCTTCTCGCTTCCTTTGGCCAAATGAAGAATTTGATGATCTATGGAAAAGAAGTTCGAAGTGTAAATAAGTAAAAAAAAAAACTGTTTAAATTCTAATTCATCGCTTTTTTCCGTACACCTTCATACTGCTAAATATATATTAAGTAAGCGAATATCACTTATCTAAACCTTTCAAAGTTTTTCTTAAGTTTAATTTCATTTTAAAATTGTATGTGTAAAAACTGATAATTTCATTTTAAAAGCTATATATTAAAATAGTTTTAACGTTGATGTTTAATCATCTGCATCGGCTTGTATCTTAAGAATAGGAGTATATAGTATTATATACTTTTATGTTATTTGAGTTTTATGAACGATTATTTTTTGAAATACATTATTATATTTTTCAAAGCAAAATATAATATAATTTGTGAAATAAAAGCTAAGTTTAATAGTTTATATTTGTAAATATTCAATAAACCTCTAATGTCTTGGTTTTATTATGCATACATGCGATTTTCATTCGTGTTTTGTAAAACTCAATTTTTATTTGAAAACTTAGAACATTCTGATTTATTTTTATTAGTGAGATTTAGGTTTTACTTACCATAAATAAATAGGAGATTATATAAAGAATAATAAACATTTGAAATAAACAATACATGTTTATTTGAAACAATACTTTCAACAATTTTAAAATGTACTTTTACAGACTATATATGTTTCATTTCATGAATAATTAATTAGACATCCATGTTCCATATTTCCAAACATAATCATTTTGAAAGTGTAGATAAATAAATTTTTATTTTCTATTAAAAATAAAACAATATAATCAACAATTTTCGCTGATAAAACATTGAAAGTTTATTTTTAACATGCTTATATATATATATATATATATATATATATATTGCGCGCTTATGTGTGAGCGAGAAAGTGCGTGTGTTTGTTTCTATACACACGCGTGTGTGTTTGTGTATATATAGAATACGATAGATTAATTTTATCAATAGTAAATTTGTAGTTTTTAATATAATTTTTAAATAAATTGCTTTACATATAGTAAATAACAGCCAAAAGTTACGATATTTAATGCTGAACTTGAGCTACGAAATTAATTTTTCTCCGCAGTATAAAATTAACATTTACATTTAATGGCCCCATATAGAATTTCGTGTAAAAATTACGATAAAAATCGTAAAATCTTATTCGTACAATTATTTGATGGTTACGAGTATAAAAGTAATAAAAATACTTTATACCCATAGACTTGGAAATTGTAAAATTGTAGTGTCTGACAACACATATAACTGGTTCAGATTTTTATTTTATATATTGAAAGAATATAAATAACGATGAGAAATAATAAAATATGGAATCGATGGCTTAAGCAGAGTTACATCGACCAGGTCTTTATATATCAGGGAAATGATAAACTTCGGGTAAAGACGATGAATAATTCGTATCATATAGTTGTGCTTTGATAAATTCTTCGTAATTGTTTGGTTTTGGATGTACTGTTGCAAGTGCTGAAATGTAAAAAAAAAATCTTATAGAACTTCTCTAAAGCTTTCGTTTTAATTTACTATACATTATAACGAACATAACGATAATTTTAATTCAAACGTATTGTTAATTTTTGTTTGCATTATTTGTGTACGATTGAATATGCATTTATTCTTATTCTTCTTCAATTTCAAATCAGACTTGATTGTTAAATTATATAAATATAACGAATAAAATTTTGTAATATATATGTAGTATAAAGAAAGCAAAACATTAGAAAAATCAAAAATTGTATTTTATAATCATCTTAAAAAATTAATTGATAATCCATTGCCCAGCGCACAACTGATTAACGATAAAAGAAATATCAAAAAATAATAATTAAAAAAAAACTTTATAAAGTCATTTTAAATTTCGGGAATTGGAAGCGAGGAGTTTTTCTTTAAATAGATATTTCAATGGGTTGAGTAAAAATCAAAATAAGCGGAAACAACGCGATTCGAGAATTCGGTGTTGGGCAACGGTGCCGGCGTTTTCATTTATTAAATATTTGTCCGTAATTTTCACTCGCCCGTGATCATAAAAACATCGTGTGAGCGTTGGATTGAATTTCAAGCGATCCGAACGTATAGTACAACGGTCTAACGAACGATCGTCTCAATTTCATTATCCTGGAGAAATATACAAATAGTATGCTCACAATTAGTGTAAGCGTAGTCCATGAGTTTGATGGCTATTTGGAGCGAGCAATTCTTGATATTCTTGATAGGTGGGTAAACAGAGCCGTTGCGAAGATCGTCGGCGGTGACGATATCGGCGAGGGTGGTCGCCGCCAGGAGGAAAATCTCATCGGGTATATTCATTATGCCACAGCAGATTATCCCGAGGGCCGTACCCGGGAAGATGTAGCTGTTGTTGCCTTGGCCCGGGTAGAGAGTCTTGCCGTCATATGTCACCGGCTTGAAAGGCGAGCCGCTTGCGAAAATCGCGCGGCCCTGTATTGCAACGGACAAATCCAAATATATAGATAAAGTCGTTATTATCTGAACTGAAATTTTCATGCCCCGTTTGTGCAATCGAACAAATATAAAGACTTAATTTAAAAATAATCAGCCAATAATAATTGTTTTGAAAATCCCGTCTCCCTCTTTTCTCTCTGTCTTTACTTTTAATAAGTATTGAGGTAAATACATTAAAGGAGAAAGAGAGAAAATATGGGATGGACGGGACGATCGTGTGCTCCTTCCCCCGTGACGCCAAACTCCTGCCAAAACATGTCACCGAAGAGTTACCTGAGTAGCTGAGTAGGCCTCCTCGGCGGTGCACTCGGCCTTGATGGTCGGATTGCTGAGAGCAAAGATGACGGGACGTTTATTGTTCTCGCCCATTTCGACAAGTATATCCTGGGTGAAGGCGCCGCCGATAGCCGACGCCCCAATAAGGACCGTAGGTTTCACCTGGCGAACCACCTCCGCGAGGGTGTCTACCGGCTTGTGGTTCTGACGGGCGAATTGGCTCTTGTGCGTAGTCACGCCACCCTTCGGTCGGTCCTGCACGATCAGGCCCAACGAGTCCACCATCCAGATGCGGTTCTTCGCCTCCTTCTCGCTCACACCCTCTTTTAACATCGCTAAGACACAGAGCGAGGCGATGCCCAACGACGCCTTAAAAATTCAACGGGAGGATTTAGCGGAGCACGGAGATTATCGTGACATTAAACGATAAATTCGCGATCGGCACGCGATGTGCCTTTAATAATGTTAGTGTTGAATTTGCGAGTCATCGTGTACGCGACAGATAGAGTCGGTCGTCAGCCGAGCTCTCAAGCGAATAAAAAATATCTGCTTAAAAAGAGCGGCTAATTTTTTCATTTGAAATGCACAAGATGTCGACGTAAATGTGAAAAATTCTTAGTGAGAAATATTTGACGATGACATCTTAGTCGCGGCCTTGTCACTCACCTCTCCGGCTCCCTGAAATACGATCGTATTCTCGTGGAGCTTGGTGTTGGTGAGTCGTAGGGAGGCGAGAAGCCCGGCGACGACGACCGCAGCCGTACCCTGGATGTCGTCGTTGAACATGCAATAACGCTCGCGGTACCTGGTGAGAAACCTGAAGGCATTCTTGTTGCCGAAGTCTTCGAATTGTATGAGAGTACTCTGACCGAAACGCTGGACGACAGCCTCCATGAACTCGTCCAAGAATTCATCATAGTCCTTGCCGGTTATGCGAGCATGACGGTGGCCCATGTACATCGGATCTCTCTGCAACATCTGCGCGGTGCGCGAATGAGTTTCGAGTGCGTGGAAAGAAGGGTCATCAAGGAAGGGCGAAAAACAAAAACAAACAAAAAAAATGTTTAAAGGTTAAAATGTCGCGCGACAACGCGAGAGATATTCGCTTATTAAAATAGAATGAGCGTGGCTCGGTGAAGACGGCGTAAAGAGCGCAATCTTAAACGAAAGAAAATCCATTCCAGTAGAGGTTCTTGCTGGCAATGGATAAAAGATTAAAAGGACGCGAGTTTTAAATAATTTAAGTGTCGGAGACTCGATGGGAGGATCGGAAAAACTGCATCGTGAACGAGGAGAGTGAAAGTGGTGAGACGATAATGATTCGTACTTGATTATCGGTTCCGACGTCGAGGGTGATGGGCAGACACTGCTGGGGCTTGATGCCGGCCAAGCCGGTGTAGAGCGAGAGCTTGCCGATGGGTATGCCCATGCCCTGGACCCCGAGATCACCAAGGCCGAGGATGCGCTCCCCGTCGGTGACGACGATCGCCCGCACGTTGTGCTCTGGCCAGTTCCTAATAACGTCGTAAACGTGGCCCTTGTCGTGGAAACTGATAAAGAGGCCGCGGGGCCTGCGGTAAATCATCCCGAACTTTTGGCAAGCGAGGCCCACCGTTGGCGTGTAAACGAGCGGCATCATCTTCTCCAAGTCGTCTTCAAGCAGACGATAGAATAGCTTCTCGTTCCTGTCCTGTGGATGGCTTATTCGTTCAATCGTCCCATCCCATTTATTTCCCATTATTTTTCAATATGAAAAAGCTCGCTCGACTCAATACGAATTGCCAATCGATCGTTTCAAGACTTTTTTCTTAACTGGACATTATATAGCTTATTCTGATTTGTAGTTGGGGTGTAATTGCAAAGAGCAGAATAAATTGTGAATAAATTGCATTATTGCAAATGCAAATCCGATACTATTGCTAACGTAAGACGAGAGTATTGTAATTCAGTATTGATTTATATAATCTACCGTTCCTCATTGGATGTGCTAAATACTTTTATATGACTTTATTTTTAATAGACGTGAAATACTTTTGTAAAGTTAGTGGTCTGACAAATCTGCAGTTATTATTAAAGTAATAAAAGCGCGTAAATTTGGAACTTTATAAAATTAATATTTCTCCCAAAAGTCACGTTAGTTTCTTCTTAAATCTCACAAGCCGTTAATGAAATCATGCATGTCATTATATTGGCAATAATCGTTTTGAACGACAACCCGAGCTGCAATGCACATGCTATAATTAATTAACAATTAAAATTGATATTATAATGATTAATAAATTGTGTTTAGAAGGAAGTTTTGATTATAAATGAGGATACTATTTAGCTAGGAATATGCAAAATCATAGGTTATTATTGATTGATTGCCATTATAAATTATGCGTATGCATGAATTGTAAATTATATGAAAATATTATAAATGACATTATTCTTATTTAATTTAATATTTAATTCAAAAATATAAAAACTGTTAAATCTTATCTTATTTGTCAGAATTTTTAGTAAATTTCATTAAAAATTTGTTGTACATCTCTTATTTTATATATACACTGCAATTAATACAGTCATAATGACTCGACTATGCTCATATAATATTATTATTTAAATCGAATTGACAAATATTTAAAATACCAATTAATAATTTTATTTATGTAAATTTAATATTAGGTTATATATATATATATATATATATATATATATATATATATATTGACGATAAAGCAATTATTGTAATTTTAAATCAACAATCATGCAAGAATAATAATAATACTCGAGTCAACCAGAATGTTTTTTCATCCTTAATGTTTTCAAATGGTATAGCAGTTAACCTGGATTGCTTTCTAAATTCGAAAAATTAAAAGAATGAAGATAATATTGAATAAAAATGTGCATTATCATTGATATAGGACAAATCAACGAATTATTCATCTTCATTGATAGTAAAAATGCATTCGAGTATTACAATTATGTTGTTGTTTGTATTAGTTCTTTAAATGTCATTCTTTGGTCGTACATTCAACTATCCTTTTCTAAGAATATTTACATGATATTATATATATTTTATACGATATATAAAAGTCAAGCTACTTACAAATTTATTTCACTTTTACAGATTAAAGAACTTCGTGTAAAATATTCATAACATAATCGATTGCCGACATCAGGTTACATTGATTTGTAATTCATACGTTCGTGTTGCGTCAAGCTTTAAAGCACGTGAAAATACAGCTTTCAGCCTCTTAGTGAATCGCGTAAATGTCTTTTTAAAATGGACAGAGATTTTTAAAGGTAGTGTATTTCAAGTGCAGGCTAATGTCCTCGATTTGATCTCAAAATTCTCGCGAGTTACGAATAAAGCGGAAATTTATCAACAAGACATAAACAAACCAGTAGGCCGATGAGGTAAATGTACTTGGAGAGATCGTCGGGGTATCGCTCGAGGTTGAGCTTGCATAGTTTCAGCTGCTCTTCCTGAGTCCTGACGACCGCTGGCAGTAGTCCATGTATGCCCAGGGACATTCGCTCTTCGATTGTGAAGGCCAGGCCCTGATAATCAAATGCATAATAGTAGACGAATGTGATTTTTCAATTTGCCAATGTGTTCGTAGGCAGTAGAACAAAGAATTTATATGCTGTTATAATGCTTGAAAGGAAATTTAATTTATTCGTTCGATTGCGTTAATAGAGTATTGCATTTATACTAGTCGCATGCGAATCCAATACAAAAGGACTTTGTTTCCTGTAATAGACCGAATTACCATATCTATATTTATTTCAACGAAATCTCAAGATAATATATTTTAATTTTTTAATTTTGAGACACAATCTATATCAAATGTATGTAATAATAAATTAACCAAATCCATCGTTTACGTTTAAAAGATATTGGCTTAATAGGGGAGAATATATCGTAGTTATGTAAACATTATTGACAATTGTAATCTATTAATAATCTATTCGATTAATTTTATAAAAAAAATAAAAAATATTAATAATTTATTGCCATAGTTCTTCGAATATATTTTATAATTTCAAATAGAACATTTAATATTTAATGTTCATTATATGCGATGCATCTAAAAATGCGAATGAATGCCAATAAATTAAAATTATTACCTACATTGCACATATTCTGAGAATAATTAAATAGAAGCGTATTTAACGTCGACATGAAAAGAAACTTTCTATGCAAATTGATGAAAATAGGTATATAGCATTTTTATAAATTTCAAATGCCTACATTTAAAACTATTAACAATCTAGATCAAGATTCTTATAAAACAAAACTGTTTAAATAAAAGTTTACGAGTATTATAGAAGCCATACATTAAGCTGAATGTAATAAAAGAAACGAAGTATGGAGTAGTAACGATCAAGTGGTGAAGAAAGCCATGACCTAGAGAAAACTGGTGCATGTCCTTGCATTACTTAATAAATATGTACACGTGTCTACTGACAGTGTCTCATTAGAGTGCGTAAGCTTTCAAGAACACTCATCCACTGATGTATATATATATAACACCCCCCCCCCCCCATCCTCCTCTCCTTTTCACCTGCCCATATGAGTTAAAGTTATCAGGCTCATCGTGCCATCAGCTGACATAGACACATTACTATCCTTAATGAGGGAACATAACATCACTATTATAATTTTGCCTTATATTTTTATCTCTTTATCTCTTGAAATGGTCGTTGGAAGTGCGCCATAAATAGAATACTAATTATAATGGCACATAAATTATTTTCTTTCTACTTTACTATTCAGATAATGCATTGTAATTCGTAGAAATAAATCTGTAGATAGTGTAGATTTTGTTGGAATTTTATATATAAATATGAACAAAAATAATTTTCATTTCAAATTTATCCCCAAGATACCGAATAACATTAATAATACAAAAATTATCATCCAATTTCAAGATGTAATAATTCTTCGACATTATCAATGAAACATATACAGATAATCATTAAACAAGTAGGTAATGACACACGATGATTACTATTTACGATGTTCACTACTTAATGAAATAAATACTTTTTACGATCGGAATAAAAACTAACGATCGTGTCGATAGTTATTTCGTTACGTAAAATGGTAAATTATTTAAGTACTTGAGTATTTTTAGATCAAAATTCAATCGAAACTCTTTATCAGCGAGATATTTCGTTTCAGTAGTAATCAAATGACAATTAATTATCTTATTGTTTCTATTAGCTTTCTATTTTTGCTTAAAAAATTCCAATATATATGGAGAATTAATATAATATATACGTTCATTTAATGTCAAATTATGTAAATATTTCAATTGCTCTAATTACAAACAAACGGATATAAAATAAAATCAAAAATAGTATGCAAATTAATTTAAATACATTTGAATTTGTATTTGAAATAATAAAAAGCATTTACATAATATTTTCTTATGTTCGGTAATACAAAAAAGTCTTCAATTAAACCATAATTTTGCAGAATGAATAATTACAATCTCGACTATACGAATATTTAAAAATTATATTCTCGATGACAATTACAAATACACGTATCAGATTTCATTTCTTTTAAAGCAAGACTCAATGACGTCAGATCTTATCCCATTACCATTTCTGCTTCTCATGCTATACAATTTTTTTCATTATTTTTTTTTTTTGCTTGAATTATATATATATATATATATATATATATATATATATATATACAAAGGTAGATTAGCATGAAACTCAAACAGATTTGTAATCTAACTTGTTCGTGAAAATTTTTTATTTTTAAGAGATTATATTATTACTTTATTAGTCTTATAAATTTTCTCATTTATATACTATCATATATATATAATGCGTAGATATTAAAATATATAACAAATTACTTGTTATGAGTAAATTTCAAATAGAACATAAATTTTCGAATTTTCTAAGTACTTCAAATACAATCGAATAAAATGTTGTTTTTTTTTTTGTGAAAATTTTAAGTAATATTACTGTTATGTTTTACTACATATCATTTTCGTACGATATTACCAAATTAATGTAAATATATGATGTAAAGGTTTTGTGATAAAGCATATTATACTCTATTAATTATCTATAATACCCAGTTTTATTATAATGTATTTTATATAATCGTTTAATGTACCGGGTATCAAAACATTTTATATTTACATAATAAGTTTTTATCGGAATTTATATTCTCTCATATTTCGAAGATTATACATTTTTATAAAACATTGACATTCCATCCTATCATATATTTTAAAATTTTAAAATAGTAATTCTTATATATTAACCGATAAAAGAACAAGAAAGAAAATTTTGTACAAATAAATTTCTCATTTTACGATAACTTCTGACGTTAATTTATTCATTGAATTTAATATTCACAATTTGCAAAGTTTTTCGTATGTGAAATTTTTATTTTTACTTGTATGATTGTTTAATTTAAATTTTCTGTACTAGAGAATATTAGGCTTTAGAGAATTTCTTTCTTTTTACGAATATGTAATATTATTCATATTTAAATACAGAGTGTTAAAAAAAAATCAATAGTCGCATAGCCCACCAACATCATGAATAATAAACTTTGTATTCGCTCTTACATCTTTGTCATATATACAATATTGTCATTCATGTGATATTCAAGAAAAAAAAATTAACAATATATCTAATTACTATATAAATAATACCTTTTATAGTTAATAATTTTTCAAAATAAAATGAATTGCCGATGAGTTTCAACACATATTAGACAAATATTATTTCAATAAAAATGTTGTACCCGCATCTTCATAAATTAAATATTAATTGTTTCTTAAATTATTCTTGATTTTCTGAAATCTGATAAGTTCCACGAATTATAAATCCTATTGTATACGAGCATATTCGTAGCTCATGTTCGTGAAGTATGTGACGGTATAAGGAAATAAAAATACAGCTCTTTACCATAATTATTGATCTGTAATGTAACCTTTCGATTACTTCTCTACGTTACATCAAAATACTATTCTATTTCCCTTTAAATACAAATTATACGATTTTATTGCATTACTTTCCTTAGCCATTTCCATAATGAAATAAGTAAATATATAGAAAGTCAAAAACCAATTACGAATGATACTTCAAAACAAGTATTTTCACGATATAGTAAGGCTTTTTATTAGAGTATTTTTATTGAATCTCACGATTAGTTTCTGATTCAGAACAATAAAATTGACTTGATAAAAATCACAAAATTATTAAAATATCAATTTTACGGCAGCCTAATGCTATTGGATTAGATGACGAAATCATTTAATCCGATCACATTTACAAACTTCTTGACGTATTTCAATTTTACAGTACATTATAAAATGCGAGTATATCTTATAAAGCAACATTTTGAGAAATATATCGAACTATCGAAGATAATAATAGTTGTTAAGAAAGACCGCTCTCTTAATTTTACAAATTAAGATGTGATATAATACATAGGTTTAATGTCATGAAAAATTTGCACATTAAATATCGTAAAAATATCACGATAAAATAAATACAATGTACAATTCGCAAAATTTAAATAATACAACTTAAAATGGATAAGGGATAATAATTTCAATTAATTGTAAATTAATAATACGACAATCATATTTTATGAGAGATTAATTTCGTCTTATCTTCGATTTTTAAATTCATTCAAGTTAACATTTATCGTCTATTTTTCTTTCCACACTTATTAGAGACCAAAACGGCGAGAAAATATCGTCGATTAGAATTTCATAATAAACTACATTCGGACAATTAGTTTAGCATCCGCCCGTTAAAATCCAGGGCTTTAAAACAAATCAAAACGTACATAATCTTCGGTGAAAGGATGGAATGGCTTTGCCTTAGCGAACACTCCCGCAGCACAACAAATCACCGCACGCGGATAAACAACACGAATATAATAAGAAAATTAAGCCTCGCAGTCTTGAGCGACGGGTGAGGCGAGGGGAAGCATCGAGCTCGCAAGATAATGTATATCAGAAAAATTACCCTTCCATCGATGGACAGGAGGGGCTCCGGTATGCGTAGCGAGCGGTTCTCGTGCGGGATCAATACCCACCAGTCGTTTTCCATTGTCAGCTCTGATTGCTTGGGAATTCAGCCTTGGAAGCATCACAGGCTAGTCGCGACCGGGAAAAAAAGCAGACCGAACGGTCGTCGTCGGGTCACGTCGCGAAAGAAGACAGGTGGCGAAGGTGGACAACGTAAGGCGAGGCTTTGTGAAATGAAGGGAGGGGCGAGGGAGGAGGCGAGAGCGCCGTCGATGTCGTAGCCGTCGCGACGCTCGATCCGTTCTGTTACGAGGTCCGCACGAGCCTTGGGGTAAAAGACCTCGCGCCACCTGCCCTCGGCTCTACCTCCATATAAACCACCACTGTGAATCGATAGTCCACTTCCTCGAGGAAAGCCAGGCCGATGCACTTTGGCTTAGACGTTGCGAGGATCCCGGCAATTACTAAGCGTCTTTCGCGCTGCTTCCTCTACTTCCACTACAAGGGGCACCTTTAAAGGAAAATATAGGAATAGACGAG